CATGGAGTTAATGAATTGTTTGATATTTTACAATGCAACTCGGCGGAATGCATTTGTAAACGGCCTAAATAGCTAGTTTTGGTATTCGGAGAGAAATTTCTTAGTAAAGTAGAACCCGAGGTAGAACCTCTTACGCATCGCTCCTTGTTTAGCGAACGCTGCTGACTATCCTTCCCTCTCCGTCTCACTCGCGACTCTCGACTCGGCGAGGTCGGTAGGTTTTTACTTAAATGACCGTAACCTTTTTATTATGACAATTCAACTCATGTATAAAAAATCGCATAAGCCGCAGTGAAATTGTCACTTTGACAGCGGCAAAAGTTACCTGCAACTTTTCCAGCGACAAATGCACTAGTGGTTTTTTCACTTATTCATTTTCGATCGCATTATCATATGACTAGTTTGACGTCTGTCAATAATTGATTAGTTTGGTGAATTTCTTGTTCGTTAAATTGTCCTGCCGAATTACACTCGAGGTTTGTATTTAAACTAAATTTGGGTTGTGGCAATTCAAATCTGTTTCCTTTTAGCAATTGATCGAAAAACTGTCAACCTAAAAATGCTCCACCTGCGGTGTCGCATTTTTATTAGTTGACAGTTTTTCTCGTCTAATTGCTAGGCAACAGATTTTCATTACCTAAACAACCCAAATTACTCGGTAAAATACAAACCTCTTGTGCAATTATAAGTGAAAAATTCACGGTAATGTTATAGAAAATAAAATAATCACAATGCTTTGGAGCATCGAATGAGCTATAAATATTGGAAATCGATATCGTGAAATAAAAAGTTATGAGAGTTCAAAGTACGCACTTTTCATCTGCTACACGAATTTTGGAAGTTGACGGTCATTTTTCTAAAAACTGTGCATAACAAGGTAGGTAAATATGATTGCTTTAGATTCTGCTATAAATGTACTTTCATTTTACAAAAGGAATTATTGATGTATATCGCTTTGTTGCTGAGAAAATAAATACTTTCGGTGGTCTAGTCGTGCGCGCGAAAATGAGTAAAGTTCAACTTTAGCGGCCTATAACTTTTGTCAGGGCCACGGGAAAATGTCGTAAAGCGAGATTCTGAAGGTTCAAACATTCTTTCTACCCCGAAAAAATTTTTTGAACGATTTCGCGGCTTTCTCCGCTGCACTATTAGACTGCATTTCCTCTATGGGTTTTCTGTTGAGTCACGCTTTGGATTTACTATGGAGAATATATCAAATGGGGGAAGGTACAAACGCGACGGTTTTACGTTTGGCACAGCTGCACGCGCAATCTGTGGAAATAACCGAGAATTCTCACTTTGCCTGAATCGAAATCCCTAAAGAGAGGCAGGCGAAGTGCGAAGTCGAGTTCCATTTCACTCTTTGTCTGCTGCATTGGTCATTTCGCAAAATGCCTAGGGATTTTGCAAAATGCCGGATTTCGCAGTTTGCCGGTAACATATATATTTAGATAATGAGAATGTTATTTACCGATTTTAAAATTGTTATCTCATCTTGATGAAAAAAATCAAAGTAGGCTGATTTGTATGATAATTGATAGTCTTCTATAACTTTTTTAAATACATTTTACAAGTTAATTGATTTGGCTAATTTTTTCAATATCTTACTTAGGTTGGGAGCGATCTTCAGAAAATGAGGATCAAAGTCTAAAAAATTATCATAAATGCACCTTATATAAACGATTGGTCCCAATTGCGTCGTTGCCACGTTGCTAATTTTACATCGGTCAAAAACGTCGAGTTTAATATTTAAGTTTCTGAGAAAAGGTAGGCTGACAATGTGGAAACTGTTTCCCCATATCTTTACAGATACAAAAGGATTTTTTACTGGGACATCGAATGAGCGATATCGTAATTATACCGTAGGTGCGTTTCACTACACTGCCCTTACTTAACACTATACCCAAAAGGTTCATAGGAAATCCTGCTCTGGTGTATTACACTATAAATCCCCATGAGTTCCCCCTTGTGTACGAATTTTGATGGAATCACATCCAAAGGCCTTGGCGCAAGGCTCATGAGGTGAATTTTATGCACATTCAATAACCGAGATATGTAAAAAAAAAATACGATCACCGTCTTTAATTGACTGACGACCATTTTTGAAACGCTAGGGCATTTAAAGAAGTTACACGTTTCATAGGAACATCGCCGTAATGGTACGGTTTCGCTGGAGCCGTTGGCGGTCGTTGTCAGGTGTCAATGGCGGACCACTGCACTTCGTTATTTATGGTTATTTATTATAGACGTGGTTTCCTTGGCGACCGTCAATGGCAGAGAACGGCGATCACCGACGGGTCCAGCGAAGCCGTACCTTTAGCCATCTTGAGCATATCAAAAGTTTCGCTCGCAAATTTTCTGAATTTTACACAAATTTCACAGCAACTCTGTACGAAAATAAAGCACATCACAAACAACCGAGTAGCTAATCAACCAATAATCATATTTGCAAACAACAAACTGGCTTATAATCAGCTGATCTGTATGAAGATGGTGATACAAAGCGGATTTCCCTGGAGCCAACAGCCTCCGAGCAATTCAAACAGTCTAGGTATTTTTTTAACAGGCCTCATACTAATGATAGTAAGGGGTAGTAGTAATCAATATATGAGAAATTAAATATTTTTGAATACATTGCAGTACCAAGTCAGAGCTGACCATTTGCAGCTCCACCACTTTTATTGCTACTGGCTGTCACATGCTATTGAGATTATGTTGTTATCAAAGTTCCATTCTATAAAATCTGAGCATAGGCGTTAATTGCAACTAGTTCTGTGTGGAATATCGTGACGTAATGGTCTAGTCTTGACGGAGTTGATTTGCCAAATATACAGTGTGTTCGACATAAAAAGTTCAACTCAATATCTCTTAAGGTGCCTTTAGTGCGACGGAGATTGGTGATTTGGCGAATTGGAGATTTGTGTTATTGGTCGAGTGCGGTCACGTGATCTAAAAGCTGTGAGGGGTATCTTCAATTATAACGTTTGCAGGTTATGTGTATTATTTATCCCTCAGAGTAAGAAATAAAGATAGAGATGCCTTAATATCTATGCGTGCCATCATCTCATTTGTTTACTAACATTGCAGGAGGCTAAGTTGTCACATTTCACGAGATAGTTTTTAAGGGAATATTAATAATATATGCATCTCGAGTAATCTAACTGGATTTTTAGATGCTTATAAGAGTTCAGTACCCAAACAATTTTAACTTACAATTAAACGGCGTAACAAGAAAAGTTATGGTGATTAGTGCACCACAACGGCAACGCTGTAACTTTGTTTTCCGTTGAGAGGTATTTTGTTTATTTCGTTAAAACGTGATTCCTTAATTTTTAGGCGTTTTTATAGTGGACGACTTATTCGATTGTGGTGTATTAATTTATGGGAGCCCTTTGAAATGGGGAAAAGCTGTATTATTTGTGGAATTATTGAATTACCTAACATAACCTTTCATCCGTATGTGTTTTGAAGTCATAGACGTGCATACGGGAATTTTCGCATTTTAATGTGTTTAGATTTCCTTCTAAGTTTCCACTTTGAAGTATCACCATACCTTATCATAGATCAATAGGGACCTTTCAAACACATACAGCTTTTGGTCATAATTATTTAGTGATACGTTATTACGTTTGCACATGTAAACAAAACATAAACTTTGTTGCCCATAAAAATAAATAAACCTTACGCCACTGACTAATGTTTACTTTCGACCTCTCAACGGTCAAATTGACTGAGATGTTGGATCAAAACAAACGTTCACGTTGTTATAGCGTACGCGTACTCTATCTTTATTTCTTACTCTGAGATTTACCCCTTAAACTTGACAGTTGTACGCAAATTCAAATTTTAGCGCGCTTGCGTTTGCGCAATACCAAGGGAGTCAGTGTGCAACACATCTGCAAGTGGGGAATCCCCATTAGCTAAATAGAAAACACTCCACTCTTCAAATTATTACCAATTACCCAAATCTCAGTCACACTAAAGGCATCTTTATTTGTCAAATATAATTTTATATGTGACATTATGATGTATCTTTGAAACTTCCTGTATTACTTCGGGTTTAATCGGAATTGGAGACAACTTTTGTTTATCAAAGGTAAGGCTTATATTTTTTTAAGACATTTGAAAAGAGCAATCAAAAGTTGCTGTATGCATATGGTTAAGACGGCCCGTGAGGCGCAGTTCAGTTAAAGCTGAACCGTGGTGCTAAGAGTCCCTGGTTCAGGCGTGGGTTGGGTTGGTAGAGCAGCCTTGGCTGAAACCCCGCCCACTCAAAAATAAAGGCAAAATAAAATAAAATAAAAAAATGGAGAAATTCGTGATTCACTACTTAGAAAACTTATGAAATCTAGTACACCGTGTGCTGTTAGGATGCGCGGTGTCTGTTGTATTATACAGAAAAGACCTATATCAACTTGTTATTTTCAAAGCCAAATCCACTACAACAGAGGACATAGTACCCCTCATGGAACGTACACCCATGGTGTTAGAAGTAGTGTGAATGTCCCTGTTTTCCAACATGCTGGCTATCCACCTGCACATTGCTTGATTTGTACACTTACGAATGATTTTATAGAACGCCCTCCTCTCTCCCAATATTTAAGCTTGTTACCAATCGAAAAGTAAAGCAGAAGCTATTTCTCAGTTTCTTCGTAGCTTCCATCATCTTTTCGAATGTTTTCCACTTGTCCTTTTGTGTTCACTGCTTTTGCTTCACATTTTCATGTAGTTGTACTTCCGTGATTTATTATCTATAATCACAATAACAAATTTATTGCACAATTTTTATTTTTAAGAACATAATAAATATATAACAATTTTACTGCAAAACAGTTTGCCATAAATAATCTGTGCCATTATGTATCAGAAATAATGCTAATGATAAACATAATGTAAGATAATGATAACTACAGTGACTTTATAGAGAGATAACCTTTGAGTATTTGAAATAATATTGGGTATTAAGTACTAAAATGCTATTATGGTGTATCTTTTTCTAGCTGTAATAAGTCAAAAGGAAGGTGTCCACAAAATAGAAGCAGCAAGTTGCAGTTCAGAAGAATCAAACCCTGCATTCGACTCTACTAATTTTCCTGTGGAAAATGAAGATCTCTCCTCAATGAAGCCAATTCCCGATTCAGCCAATAACCACTCACTTGAGTCACACGAGTTGTCCATAAACAATTTTAATTCGGTTTATGCATTACAACAAGAAGCTGTTCAAGAGGATGAAGAAGCTTCGCACGATATGTTTGAAGGGGGGCATCTTATAATAAGCGACGAAAATGGACCGGAATGTGAGAATGCAATTTCTCACGATGAAGTCAATCCCATAAATGGGCAGGAACATGAAGACTTACCGGATACTATAACTGGAAATGAATCTGAAGAAGAATTTCAAATTGTGGATGGTGTGCACGTCACGGGCGACAACGATGATCATGGCGTCGTTGTTGCGTCTAATCAACCAAAAGATGCCGATCAACACATTTTGAAAATTCACGAAAACGTTTCATCTACAAATAACGCCTTAGTAGATATTAAAATAAAGAATGCGCTTAAACGAAATGGTAATAAGAGCAACAAGAACTTAATGTATTTTATTATTAAAGAGCCAGAAAAAGAGAATGTTGCATCACTTGCAGATGTCGGCAAAAAAGTATTGAAAGCCAATCCACGAAGCGTATTAAAAAGCTCCTTCACTTACTTCGAAGAGAAGAAAGATAATGCAAAACTTGAAAGTCAAGTAAAGTGCGAGAAAAAGCCCGCCGTCAAAATGAAGGAAAGTAAAGGGAAAGTTGTTCCAAACTTCTTACCAAAAACTACAATTATCTTAGCTCCCGTACGTCAAGAACGGATGCCAAGAAAACAAACGATTACACCTGTAAAACGAACCGACGAGGAAATTATTGTACAGGAAGTGGTAGTATCCTCAAATGGGGTTGTTGAAACAAAAGAAGATGGTGTTTTAAAATCCAAAGTATTATTAACCCCGACCGACTATGTTCAGGTATCCGATTCCGACGAAGATTATAATGTTAAATCGGAACGTAAAAAGAAGAAGAAAAAGAAAAAGCGCCGATCTAAGGTTACCAAAATAGTCATCACTGATTCGGAAGATGAGGACGTTGAGAATGGCATAGTAGAAATTGATTTGTCAGTTGATTCTGATCAAGAAAATGGTGGAAAGGATAAGCAAACTGAGCGAACAGGTAGTGAGACAGTTTCTCCCAAAAAGAAAAGAGGGCGCCCATCAAAAAGACCTAGCAGTAGTTTAGAGGAAAGTGGCAGTTCTAGTTCATCTAAAAGATTAAAAAGTACAAATGAATCTGAGAGTAGTGATATTGCAACTCCAAAAAAATCTGAAGATTTGCCGATCAATACAAAGTGGAATTGTTCCTCGTGTACGAAGGTATTTCCTAGCCAAGGTAGCTTGAAATCGCATATGCAATATCACACCTATCATGAATCTGCAAACAAAACCAGCTCATTTAAAAAGCCTATATCAACAACATTAAGTAACTCGAGCCGCTATAAATGTTCTATTTGTTTCGATTCATTTAAAAACAATTATTTGCTAATGAAGCATACAAAAGAACACAATGACCCCAGTAAATTTGAATGCGGCGTCTGCAAAAAACTATTCTCTGATCAGTTACAATTGACAATTCATAAACGCAGTCACGTCAAAACGCAAATGTTTAACAATACCACTCTTCCAAAGGATTCGCCCAAAAAGAAACAATCGATTGGAAATCGACAGAACACTTTATGGTTACCAAAAAAGTGCAAGTGCCACATTTGTTCAAAAGTATTTGCATCACAAAGACTTTTAGATAATCATGCTAGTATACATAAAAAGTTCATTTGTCTGTCGTGCAGTTCTACTTTTGTATCAAAGTTGGCAATGGAAGATCACGTGCAGCGTCAATGTGTAAAGCCAGTAAGCTCTCCTAATCCAAACAGGACCGTAAATAAACCATTGCCCTCGTCTTCTAAAACAGTAAGCATAAGAACTACATCTGCTCATAAAATTAAGAAAAGTTCAAGCGATTCGTCATCTCCTGATAAAGAGAAAAAAACTCCTTGTAGTGCCAAACAAATTGAACTGAAATGTGATAAGTGTCCCGTAGTTTTTAAATCGCACAAAAACTTATTTACTCATAAAGTGTTACAACACGGATTAGAAACGCCAGATGGAAGTATAAAGGCGAACAAACGTAAAACCTTACTACATAAGGAACTAGGGAAACACGGCAGTGTGCCTGCGAATGAAAAGTTAAGGAATGCATTTGCAAATTTAAGGACAATAAAATAGTATTTTTAGGGTAGGTTTCAGTGTACAAATTAGAAATCATTTCAAAAATTCGCATGTAGTAATAATTGTCTCTTATCATTATATGTAGACCCGGTGAATGAAAATGTTTATTAAGACAATATGACCATTTTATACATATTTGCATATTAAAGTTCAAGGACAGCAATGATGCTTGGCATCAATCGTTTTACATTAAAATTAAGCGTCGCTCAATGGTCATTGAAGGTACGAGTGACCTGATAAATTTATGTAAGCTTTCAGTTTTACAGTCAATAGTACAAAATCAGTCATGTAAATAATATCTATCTATCTATATATATATATATTTCACTATTTTTTATGTTTTAGGATACTTTACAAAAAATTAATATAGTATCATCTCATTCTCATTAGCATGTATATATGTAAACTACTTTGTATAATTAAATTTATGAATTATTTAATAATTTTTGGCAAATTATTTGGTCCATGGCATAATCCAGTCAATTTGTACTTTCTGATTACAAAAGGTCAGGTAGAAGATTTTATTTTTCAGACTTGTTTAAATGGTAAAGAGAAAGAAAAATCTACCAATTCGACTGACGGGAGAAATTTTTGTGATCAAAAATCTGCAAAAGTTTCTGCTTTTTTTCAAATAACCCGCCAACCGCAGTACTTAGGTAAAATCATCTATTATAAAAAACTAAATAAAATATTGAAAATAAATTTACACAAATAGATTAGGTATACATATATAAATAAATATCTAAATTAATTTATTTAATCTAAATTTTTGCTGAAGTCTATTTTTTTTTAAATTAAATAAAAACTCGAAACTTCAACTTGATGTATCTCCTAAAAAACAGTGTAATTTGTGGTTCTTTATATTTGTCAACCTTACTCATTTTCTTCCCTCTCACTGTCTTGGTCCAACATGAGGTGTTAAATCTACCACCTAGTACAATAATCATTAGATGTATCTAACCATTTTCTAGTTATAGAAACGTTATTTATATTAATAAGTGATAAGACAACATAATCACACAATTAGGTTTCACTTCTTCCAATATAGCTACCAACGGTGATCGACCCATGTGATCAACCTGCAAAAAAAAGGTATTCTCTATTTAAAAAGGCCCATTTTTTTAAAAATCGGAATAGTTCTGCAGATATTTCCAATGAAAGTTTCGACATCTCCAATGGACATGTCTCGTCCTGACGTTCCACTTGCGCTTTATGAGTGCCCTCTTATGACACTTCGTTTTCAAGATATTCGTTTGGACTTCACCAATAGATAGGTTTGTCTCGTTCAGAGGATTCATTTTGACTTTGTGTGTACTCTCTCCTTCGACAAACAGTTTCGCTCATAAATTATGCAATCACCAAAAGATATATTTCTTCCAGACGTCCCAATTGCCTTTTGTGAGTACCGTTTCCAGACAATCTGCTCTTGAGATATAAGTAATTATAAGCGATCACGATAATGGGTCGAGGAGGAAGACTATGATTGGTAAAAGGGAATTCCTTTCATCGAGTTCATTAGAGTACCATGAAGGATAAAACAAGTCCGTCCCTCAACCCCCCCTCTTTGATAAGGGGTTAGAAAGAAAGGCGGGAGCTGGTAGAAAACAGATCCTTTTTTTCTTTTTAGAATACCATGGAAGATAATACCCCCACCCCCGCCGGTCACCGAGTTTTGTCGAAACGGAGTCGCGCAGGAAGGTTATAGTTTGTAGAAACCAATTCATTTCGATGAGACCTTTCATTAGAAGGAATGCCATGAAGGATAGAACGTGTATTTACCCCCTCTCCCTCCACCATTTTCAAAATTTTGACATTACATCACTAGATGCATGTACATACAAAATCTGAGACAAATTACATTTCTTTTAATTCTTAAAAAATTTATATTTTTAAAAATTACTGTAAACACGAAACTTTAAATTAGTGTATCTTCTAAACTATACATGTTAGGGGGCCAAATAAAATATCAAATTGAAGGTACTTTTATACATTCCAGTTTTTAATAATTGATGATGTTACCTAAGTATTACCGTTGGTGAGGTATTTTTAAAAAATCGAAAAAAGTCAGAAATGTTGGCAGATTTTTGACCACAGAAATTTCTCCCGACGTCAGTCGCATTGGCAAACTTGGATTTTTATCTCCCTTTACTATTTAAACAAGTTTGAAAAATAAAATCTTCTACCGGACCTTTTGTAACCATTTAGCATTTTTACGTCTAATTTGACTGGACTAATGGCTTTGTGTAAGGGTATTTTGCACTATATAAGTAATAAGATATCTTGCAAAACTAGTAAGAATAAAAATGTTGAACAGTAGTTTGTCATATAACTTCTAAAAAAAAGTGATATGATGCCCCACACGCCACTTCCTCATTAATATTCATGGTAATAAATTTAAATTGATCCTCTCCAAGACTTTCCTTTAAAAAGTATGATTAAGGACTTTTAGGGCTCAAGGATACACCTGTCTACAAAACTACAGATTGTATCTGTGTTCAAGGGCGTCGCCAGAGGGGGGCATGGGAAGGAAGCTACCTCCGTCTAGAGATTCAAAAAAGTGGCAAAATGCAAAGCAACCAGTCCAAAAACCAAAGTGTCCTGGTTTCCTTAACAGATAATTCCTTATTACAATTATTGTGGTTGTAGAGGTAAGACAGAACAAGAGTAAAAGTTTATGTGCTCTGCACTTACAATTAATAATTTTTTCGTACTTCCGAGACTAAAGTGACAACTTCACTCCATTATGACAAGTACTGAAGTGTCACTTTTTGTCCCGCCGGGATTAAATTTGGACGAAAATCCCGGAAGCATGAAATTACTAACAACGCAATTTCAGTAGGTTGTTCCACATTTTGTATGCGGCACTACTTCTTAAACGCATCGCACTGCTGCTCATATAGTTTTTTGGATGTCGGAGGTATCAATTCTTTACCTAGTTTGGCTACTTTTTATCAATATCAAATACACCTTTGTCACCCACCACCAAAATTATGACACTAGCACTGAGAGTTTCCAAATTATTTGTGTTACCATAGCATAGGGCTTGTCGTACCAACGCAACGTTCCTATGGTAACTTGTTAAGCAGCGATTTTTTGAAAGAACGCGTTCTCTAACTCCATACATATTAAGTGTTTCAGTTTCAGAAGTACGAAAAATATCGTATATACCTTGCGACTGAAGTAGTGGTCTTAATCCCTCAGGTAAATTATGGCCCGACCGAAGGGCCTTCGGGATTAAAAGTACTACTTCAGTCCCGCGGTATATAATATACTATTTTATCCTTCATATGTCAACTTACCCCTCTCTGGGCCATCAGCTGGCGACTCTCGTCTGTGTCCGTTTATCCAAAATCGTCCTGAAACAGCCTGAAATTCATTTTCATGACTACTTTCTGTCAGGAAATTTTGTAAGATCAATATACCTTGTCGTCAAATTGTGACGGTAGAATAATAAATGTCAGTTCCATTTAAAGATTCTCGTTCAAAACTAACGTCGCAGTAATGATCGTAAACAGGACAATCTATGGGGAAACCACTGCCTCCCAAATTCAAAAACATGGGAAACGGTATAATAAAAGTATAAAATATGGTGCAATATCCAAAATGTATTAATGTAATCATTAAATTGTGTTTGACATTTCAGTTTTGACCAATTCTGAAGTTTCACTAGGAAATTTTCTTGAAATTTATGAAAATTTTACCCTCTTATGTATTCAAACCTTTAGTGATAAACTAATTCTATTACAAGTTTTTTTTTTCTTGTTCCCATTGTAATAAAAACAACCAAGGCATACTACCCAAACTTATTTCATATTTCATATTTAATTAGGTATCTACTAATACTATAACAACATAAACACATACTCTTTAAAGTAATCAGCACCACTGTCCGCTCGTTTTCGTGAGTAGGTAACTGCCTATTGCGCGCCCAACGCAATTCGCAATCGAAACGCGATATACCGGAAGCTCACCGTACTACCTGGCGGCGCGATGAGAAGGGGGGGAAGAATGTGAATTTTTCATTGAAATTTATGATGACAATATGAAATTTTCACTGAAATTTATAAAAATTTGAGAAAATTTCAAATGAAATTTCACTTGAAATGTATGAATATGTCACTGAAATTTCAGTTTTGGGTTACAATGAAATATTTCGCATTTGAAAGTTTCAAAAGCGAAAATTTCAATTGAAATTTCAAGAGTAACAACACTAGTTCTATCACTTCTTGTCCCTTGTCGCGCGTTTTTACTTCCGGGATAAAAAGTATCCACAGAGTACAAAAAGGCAATAGGCCTATTCGTTGTGCTTCAGCAATCATCAATAATGTTAAACTTTAAACCTATTCAAGTGTATTTTTTATCACAATTATTGCTTTATCCATAACCACAATTGAATTTGCTGGTAAATTTGATATAAGCTGCTTCTTTAACCAGTTTTCTATGTAAACTCGCATTATTAAGAGCTGAAACAAGTTTTACATCAATTACCCACTAGTAAGGTTAGGTACTGTTTTTCATATAAAAACACTAATTGGCCGTTTGCACCGACAAATATAAGCAGAGCTTAGCTTAAGCGTAGCTTATGTTGGTGCAAACGGCTATAAGTGAATTACATGCCCTATAATATCGTAAATCCTAGCATATGCACCTTGAGACATACGAGTTAATGTAAAACTGGAGCTGGAAAACGTAAAATAAAGCAAATACAAGAAGCAAACTGTAAACTAGTAGGTACCGTTAACCTGTGAAGCGTGAACTGTCAAAACACTAAACAGTATAATAAATAATTATAGCACAGAGTGTATGGCATCGTTTGGGAGGTTTCCTATTGGCCAGTTTGGAATTTAGCTCCAATATGGCGACCGGAACCAATGACTAATCATTTGTGACATTTCCAAATGTTTATAACAACTCCTGTCATCACTGACAGATTGACATTAACAAAAATTCTATGTAAAAATTGAAATTTTATATTAAAATACTAGTACTAGTAATAAATAATCGATAACTTTCTTAATTATATGGACATTAATACCGTGAGTAATGTGCAAATACTACTTCTGTTCTGGTTGTAGTTTTCTATTCCGAATGTACATTATAGCCGAACCTGGTAAGAAACGCTGATCAAGTGCGGACGAATCCGAACATGCATGCGCAACTTTTCTAAGGTTACGATGGTTTTACTATACAAATCTCAGTTCGTCATATAATGCAGTTTCGACATGAACGGTTGTTGTCGGCTATTGGTAATTTTAATGTCGGCGATCGCGTTTGTTTGCGGCGGCTGTCCTTTCTCTTGTTGCGTGAAGAGCTGAATTCTGTCCATATTTGACTGGTCTGCTGCCACAGGGAACACTGTTTGATGTCTACATGTTGTGTACGGGCATCCAAAGGCTGTTGAACTACATTGACAGCCTTTACGAGTGTTAAATCCACCAACTGCATGTTCTCGCTGGGTTTTTAGTCCTTCATACCTACGACAATGAGGTTAAGATCGTCGTGTCATGTGGATTTGTAATACTCGCCAGTTCGCCTTTCGCAGCTAAATCGTAAACATTGGTCAACTATTCCATTGGTGATTCATCCTTTAGTCGATGACGTTGAGGGAACTGGACTCTTTCGTATATTAAATTCTTCTTCGTAATAAAATGTCTGATGATGTGATCAAAGCATTGGAATCATTCAATTGTGTTTCGGACAAATTCAATTTCGTAATCATTTTGTGTTTTTCTCGCTCATACACTGGCGCACACGATGCACTTTCCCACTCCAATACATTATCGAGGTCACAAAACAGTTGCACGCCCAAGCGGTTTGCAACTGTAGTCGCAGAACAGTCGCTCCGTGTGCGCTAGGGCTAAAAGAATGACCAAAACTTATATGAATATTACTTCTGATCAAGACAGTGTAATCAAAAACATTACAACAAAGATGAACGCCATTGCAAACAACGGTATCAAAAATATCATTCTGCATTGAGGTTAAAACATGTTAATCTTAAAAACAAAGATGGAAAAATTATATAAAAATATTAATATGTCTCATACAAAACACAAACATTTATGGAGCGTATGCTTTCGTGGTAACCATTAAAAACAAGACGGCAAACGTAACCAGCGTTGGTGATTTCCAGATGGCGCAGACAGCTTTCCTCTTCTAAAAATTGCGCGGTTGCCAGCTCTCAAACATGTATGAATCATGGTAGGTTGTATATACAGAGTAGAAGCGAGCTGTTGACATGCTAGATGAAAATTTACACTCACTAAAGTATAAATCTGCACAAATATAATAATATAAATATTTCACTAAAACATATGATCAGTTTCAGTTACAATTTTGCATGTAGTCACAAGTGTCAATTTTAAAAGTACAAAAAATAAATCTATATATATCAATAATCATCAGAGAAGGGATAAGAAAAATAAAAATTACGTATGAATAACTCCAGTACTTTCAGTTCGTCCCCAGTCTCATAAACTACCCCTTCAAGAATTTATAGCATAAATTCATTTGATTCACTTTTATAATTGAGATTGTCTTACAAATTTTACTGAACCTATTTTATCTTGTATGCATCGCAATCATAATAGCGTCCAATAAACACAAAAGTAATAATATTCCACCTTTTAATTTGGATTGCCAAGAATGCCTTATCAAAAAAATACAAATTTACGTAGTCACAAAACGTTGGAGAGCTCACGTGTGAACAAACATTATTTGTCAATAAATGCTCTTTTGGAGTAAATGCACACGCCTTTTCACTAGTGAAATTGCTCTATGCATTCATGACAGTTCGTCTAATTGAACTTATAAACTAGGACGCAAGAATAGACGCGTCTCTCTTTCTATATTGCATAGTTCTTAGTAGACAATTAAATAAAAAGTTGAAAGTTTTATTCATAAACCCTTACATACCGAAATTACATAAATAAAATGTATTTAATACACATAGTTGCACACTTAATATAATATTCTAAACAGACTGAAATAAAATAAATCACTAAAACGCTGATCCTAATATAAATATGCAATATTTACAATAAAAAAGGTCAATTCAATAAAATCAATTCTGCCACAAATAAAAACGTTATTTATCAACACAGTTATCTTATTTTGAACATTAACTTAGTTTGGAAAGCCAGTTTGAAACGACCTCTCTGAAACAAAAAAAATAATGAAATTGAAAATTAGAAAAAAAAACTTTTGGCTGTTACCATTACTAATACTAGTTAGTAGGATGTAAGGGAACAGGAGCAACAGGACGAGGAACTGAAAATGGTTATTGCTCTATGCTCTGTGATAACTCTTCTGTTTATAGTATACGTCAATTCAACTGAAAGTGAACTTACGTTTTTTGGGCGTTGGTAGTTCTAAAAAAAATGGCATTATTTCGGGACACAAACACCTACAGTGCAAAATACGTACGGCTTTTGAGGATTTACGGAGCTACTAGATGTCACCTTCTTATTATGTCTGACTTTTTTAATATAAGCCTCAACTAACCGCTGAATTCTTTTAGGATTAATTTCTCCCGTTTTATTATGACATATCTGAAAACAAAATTGTATAAATGCTCTGGCAATATTTTATTAGTACCATGCGATCAAAAATGAGTTGCTGTCGAGTCACCTTCGATATTTTTGTTTACATGGGAAATCGTACTTAACTTGAACTTCCAAAGGCGACTCGACAGCAACTCTTTTTTTATCGCCCGTTATTATGTATCTATATAATATGGTGGACGTATTTGCTATTTATTTTCAGTAAAACTTACTAGTAAATCTGAATACCTTTGGTTATAAAAAGAAGAACTGATATAATAAAAGATTACAGTTACCTTTGGCACAGCTCGTCTTAATATGTCCTTATATTCTTCCTTTGTCAGTCTCTTTTTATTATAGTGTGGTTTCAATACAAATTTAACTTCCTCGACAACCCTCTCTTGGCGATTAAGTTTCTTCAAGAACTAAATCAAGAAATATGGTGAAAATATTGATAATTAAATGTGTCCAAATTACCTTATCCTTAACTTGCATTTCTACTGCAGAATTTGGTAGCTCATCCAGAATCTTAAGATTGTCTTCATCGAGTTTTACTCCAACTTGCCTTGTACCTGTAACATTACATTGACAAAATGCGACTGTTTTATGGGTCTCGCTTACCTTTACTGTGCTGATTGGGTTTCTTAACCTTAGCTTTAGTTTTGTTCTTGTTTTTGTTGGTGTATACAGGCGACGAACCAAATAACGTGTCAAAAGTATTTTGGTTTTTCGCGGGAGATTTCGTATTCTTACTCTGCGCCGTCTTCGTACTCTTCATGTTGGTCATTTCCGGTGGAGGTTCAAAGAGATCTTCATAATCGCTAGATCCAGGCGAATACGGAGATTCGAAATCGAGATTTGCGTCATTGTTTTCATTGCTCTTGCTTTTCGATTTCCATCCTCCCTTGGTGCTCGCCTGTTTCGTCGCGCTTTTGGTTGGCAACAGTTTGACAGTCATTTTTGCCGATTGTTTTGTTGGTGAAACTTTGTTAATAGGACTGAGTTTGGCGGCTGTAGGTAAACCGATTCTTTGAGAAACAGAAGAGGTGACTGTCGATGCAGTTATCACAGAAGAATTTAAATTGTTTCGCGAGACAGATAAATTTGAAGAAACAGGAGTGGAAGTGATCAGTGACGTGGAACCCGACGAATACACTGTAGATGATGCCGATTTTGAAGCATTCGGGAAAATCGAAGGGAGGGGCTGAACCAATTGATTAATGACTACTCCTATAGGTCTTTCGGGTGAACTGCCGATGTTAGTATCAGGAGTAATAGCGCGAACACTACTTTGTGAGTCGGCCGGTTGAATATCTGGGGTTGGTATCGGAGGTGTATGGGATTTAGAAGCGACAACCGCCGATGGACTGGCTTTATCTGTAATATCTATCACGGACGATTGATCTGCTAAATCTTCTTGCGTATCCTCCATACTTTGGTTTGTATTAGACTGCACATTAACTTCTGTTGGTTCGGGCGTGGGCGTTCGTGATTTTGTAGGATCGAATGGATCATATGCATCTGGTGAGCTTGGTGGTGAATTAGGTGGTTCTGGTGGAGTATTGGGGCCTTTATGCATAACTTCATTAAGTCTATTTTCTAATTCCTCTTGAGGATCTATCTCTTCTTCTTCTGCTTCATGCAATGGATTGGTAATTGCTCTCAATTGTGATTGTTTTGAGGTGAATGTAAATTTCACCTGAAATATAATTGAAAGTATATCGGAAACAACACCAAATTATATATCGATATTTGCCATATTTCTCAAATCTAAAGCGCGTTTTACATTCTGAAATTTGTTGTGTAAGTTGATATTCTGTTAGCCGAGGGCATGCGTAATAGATGCTTTTCTTGAAAGTGAAATAATTTTCAATTTTTCGGTTCGAACGAGAAATGTTTCACTTTTAGCTGAAATTTTCGAGCTACCAACTCTTAGGATTGAATATTTAAAATTAATGGTATGTTTTGTGTCATTTGATGGTTATTTGTGTTGATGGAGGTAAAATCAGATTGTTGATCGAAATATTTTCTCGTGAAGTTCTTGATTCGAATCCGGGTTTGGGCATGGATATTTGTAAATGTATAGTGGGTTGGGTTGGTAGAGCAGCCTTGGCTGAAACCCCGCCCACTCAAAAATAAAAGCAAAATAAAATAAAAAAATAAATAAATAAAACAAGATGAAGAGAACTTTAATTAAATTTCACTGTTATTTCGAGAATCTGATATATGAATCTGACAATTGTCTTTATTGTTCTTGATCTAAACCAGTGGTGGGCAAACTACAGCCAGCGACGGGTTGCAATGTGTCCCGTGAAAGTTACAAGGCAACCTACTCTATTAACTAACTTTGACCCAAACCTGAGTATTATCATAAGGGATACATGAATGAAGACAAACGGCAGTAGTACTTACTTGTGGTTCTGGTGGCGTTTTAGGACCCATACTGTTAATATAGTTGTTATTAGAAATTCGTTCTGCAGTGGTGGTTTGCTCTGAGCTTTCACGCCTGTGGGATGTTTGGATACCAATTATGTCGTCGGTATCCGCATTTTCACTATCTGTCAATACAATAACATCATTTTGTGGCGTTATTTCCCTAAACGGCGACCTTTCCAAATCAATAATTGCCACCGGTTTTATATGTGACGTGTTTTTCATGGACCGCCTCACTCTCTTGACTTGCTTTTCCTTATCCTTACGTAGCCGTTTCGTAGTTAACTCTTGAGTGACATTTCTACGCCGCCCTTCTTCGATGTCCTTGTTAAAACTAACACTTACTAAAATGTTGTTACCGGATGCAAATACTTCCTTGGAAGGTACAGGCGATCTGTTTCGCCGCCGCCGTTTTTGTTTGTCACTTGACTCTTTGCCCTTTTTCGGCCTGTCTTTTCGTTTCTCTTTTCGTTTCTTATTTGAGACATTCGGCAGTATTACTGTTAAATTTTGCGGTCTAACTGGATTCATTATTCGAGGTGGCGTCCATGAAGGTGTTAAATGTCTGTGTTCGGGAGATCTTGAACGAGACAAAGAGGGAGTCCATCCCCTGGCCTGCCTCTGCCAATTCCTTTGCCGCGGTACCTGCGGAGACCGCGAACGACTTTTTTGTTTTTTGCCTTTACGTTTAGATCGATCAGGAGTTTTCCTCTCAGGTTGACGCATTTCTCTAGCAATTGACAATCTTCGTTTTCTTGGCTTAGACCTAGCCCTTTTACGTCCACGTGACACTGATCTTGAGAATGATCGTCGCCTTTTTCTCATCCTTTCTGGTGTTTTGGATTTTCTGGTTTTTGAAGGCGATTTTCGGATAGGCGATTTGGATCTAAGTAAGAAAAAAGTGTAAACAAAACTGCTATTTGTATTAACTGGGAGAGTTGGGGATTTTACATCACTATATGAAGTACAAACATAACTCAATAAAAAGCTAAAATTCTACTAATCTTTTCTAATGATGACTCCGGGAACTTTTAGACTACAGTAAAGTTTAAAAGTTATGATTGATGTACGTCTCCATGTGATAATGGCCCGTATGAATAAAAGTAAGCAAATGCTTATACTTGCAAAATTCAAAGTAAATACTCGTAACTGCTCCTTCATACTGGTCTGTTTAGCATGGTTTAGCAGCGCTGCACTGCGCCCTGTCCTTCTGCTTAGAAGCGCTGCTAAGTCGCCCAGTGCGAAGGAGCAGTTAGGAGTATTTACTTTGAATTTTGCAAGTATAAGCATTTGCTTACTTTTATTCATACAGGCCAATAGGTCATTAATCGAGGGTGTATTCTATATATTTCTAAATATTTAAAAGTTATAACAAAGAAACATTCAAAGACTTTGAAAATAGCATTGATTCTTAATACAAGTGTATGAGTTCTTAGAATCTTTCACCAACTGAAGCGGCAATGGAGAAACATTCTTTGAAGGTGTCTAGGACGAGAAACAAAGTTGACACATGAGAACTGCGTCTGGAAGGCTACAAATTTCATGCTTCTTATTACCACCCTCTAACATCCCAATGCCCTGTTGAAGCTGTTAATATGCTCAGACAAAAATGAATGCACAGGAAACTGAGGTTGCCGTTAATAGGTCTGTTTTCCAAAGTGCGTGGAAGCTCTCTAACACTGACCTCCCTCTCATGTGGGCAAGAAAGATGAAGATGTAGAAAAGTTGAGAAAAACAGAAAAGATAGATGAGATTTAATAAGAAGAGGAAAGAGCGAACTAATTTACATTTCTCTTTTGTTAATTTATATACCTATTAATTATTATGCAAAACTATCCTACTGTACAAACCTTTCACAAATACATTTTGTTCATTGACATTGAAAGATGTAGCCAAAATGAAAAAATCTTAAACTACTATACTGCATTCATTATAAGAAGGTAGTAGATGGCGCTGTGTTTGAAGATAAACACACACAGGAAAAATATAAAATGGTACCAAATTATTGTAAAGTAGAAATATTCAGCATTGCGAACAGAAATAAATCTTTGACAATAACAGCTAATAACACTTCGGAAGTTTAGTTGGCAACATAAACTACCACCTTACAAAATTCACCACTCGTTTTATGTTTCATTGTAATACTGACCCATGTTTTAACCAATCACAGTGAAGGTCAAAGCTTCCCTATGCATTCTACCGCTACCTTCTTAAAATGAATACAGTGTAGTGGATGTTTCCTAATAACAAATTTTGGATATATAAAGTTCAGAAGCATTTTAGAACTTGAAAATCAGATTCAGCAACCAAAACTACCTATGAAATCGTTGATAAAAAAATTGTTTTTTGGGAAATACCCATGTGCTTGCATTAGGTTTATAACAATTATGTATTAATCCTCCCGATATTGTGTCTTCCAAAATTGTGGTACATATGTTAAAGTGCAGGGGTTTCAGTGTAGAATCTAGAACTAGATAATGATACTCGCCGTTTTACAAATTTGATATTCGCAAATGCAATTTTCGTAAGAATTTTATTAAAAATTATGCTGGAGCGCATGCACATTTGATCGCCATGTGGATATATTAATATAATATATGAGGTTAATGCAAATGAAACACCTTCAAAGAAACGTACGTTCCAAATTTTAAGTCTCTTTTTGACTGAAAAACGTAAAATTCCGTTTTTACTGTTGGAAACTTTGGAAAGCGTTTTACTAGCTCAGAAACTTTCGCGGGCATACGTCCAACCATTCCCCATCGCAATCGGATGAACGATTTAGACAGGCACTCATTCTTCTTTGTATGGATAATAGCAGACCTGACGAACATTGAAATTCAACCCCGAGGAACTGTTAAACTTAACGTACTGCCAAAAGACGTTATCTTGCGTTATTGGTAGGGGTAAAATAAAGTTTTCTACAACCTCCACGATAAGTTTAACGCTAGTGATACATCACAGGGCTAGATTGCCTAACATTTTCATATAATGCCATTACAGTGTGCACATTTTAAATCCTTTGAAGTTTTGGAGTTAAGCGATGCTGTTTCAGGACATGGTAGTGATGATTTGCAAGGCACACTGTACACATTTTCAATATTTAACAAGTATTGTGGGTTACTTTGTATTGGTACCAGCACGTAAGAAGGTTACATGGGAATAGACATTGTTGCAAGATTTGTTTCAAATTCTTTTAAAATATTACGTGTTTTTAAGCGCCCATTATTACATACCTGATTTACAGTTAATAAGAAAGCGCGAATATCCTATAATACCTATCTCTTTTTAATTTGACAGTTGTTGGCATTAGTTCTCATATTTACTTTATTAATAACTTTCTTTATGTTTATGCTTTTTCTATATTTTAATATTAATTAATTCGTTATTCTGCTATTCAGGTCAGAAACGAATACAAGAAATCAAAGATCATAAAAAATCCCTCCAGCCGTTCTTGAGTTATAAGTGGTGTAACATACACGACTTTGTTTTATGTATTATAGATGAGAGCAATATTCTAACAAATGTGAAGTGTCTCAGTATTGCAATGGTCAAATCACAAAAATTAAGTGATGCCTACAGTGCAATTCACACTTAAAGGTCTCTACCCACTACAACGTATCATACCATGACCGTAATAGGAACGTGCCAAATAATGTTTGTATGGAATAGTATGAGACTATGCCCACTAGACATACACGGAGCGTCAACATAGTCGTTGAAAATATTTTGGCAGTGCCGATACGCTCCGTGCATGCCACGTGACGGTTCCAAACCGGTGCGCGCAGGCGCAGAAAGGATGAACATACGGAAGTACATACAGGGTGGTCACTTGCGTAACGCATCATAGGGATTTCAATATAAAATTCATAACGTGCGATTATTGGCTCTTCAATTTTTTTTACGCCAATCAACCGTATTAGTTTTAAATTTTTTACATAATAAAGACGGAAAATTGGAAAAATAAAACCCGCATCTTTTTCAATAATCTGCGATGCCATGGAATTTTCTAAAACAAAAAGATATCCAATTATCAATTAGCAGCAGTTCGAATTGGATTTTATGATCGACTTGGTTACTGTCTTGCAGTTAATGGTGACTTATTCGAACATTTATTGTAAATTGTTATATTAGGAAACCGTTTTTAGTAATTTGGTCTTTCTTTATGTTGAATTCGCTGTTCTAAATATAATGCTTTTTGATAGAATTTGATTTTTTTTATAGCAGACGTTCCATGGCATGACGGATATTGGCGTAGTTTTTGTATTATAAAATTCCATGGCATCACAGATTATTGAATAAGATGGGGGTTTTATTTTTCCAATTTTCCGTCTTTATTATGCAAAAAATTGAAAACTAATACGGTTGATTGGCGTAAAAAATTTTTTTTTACAAAAAACCTTAATATATTTTTGCTCTAAAATAATTTAGGGAGCCAATAATCGAATGTTATGAATTTTACATTGAAATCCCTATGATGCGTTACGCAAGTCACCACCCTGTATACAATTTTTGTTCGTCTCAAAAAAGACCCAGGTTGAAAATCCTATTAGCACAACAATGGTAGGTGCCAAGGGCAAACATTAAAATGTGGCCCCTTCGTAATTTTTGTTCACCGCTTCACCTTAATTAAATGAGCTCGCATTTGAAAACACGCCTTTTATCCCGCTATTTAAAAGCACAGATCCTTGAACTCGTAGAAATCGATTTGCGATGGTTTGACATCGCTATCTCGAGTTAAACGAGCATTGACGGACAGACAAAACCAACACATAGGGGAATGGCATTACATTGAGAACATTGCGCCGGTGCTTGTATTTACTGTTTTTGAAGTTACGGGCGAGGAGACACAAAGATCCGTGTCAGCGACTTCTATTGACAAAATTGTTACACTATTTAAACAGTTACAGCCCCAGATGTCAAATGCAGCTGTAACACAGATGAAAGTAATCCTACGCTATGAGTGAACAATAAGACCTGGAGCACCTACACTATAGAGAACAATAGGTGTTGGGAATGCTAGGATGCGTGTAGGACCAATGAGAAAGAAAACGTGTATGCGCGCATGAATTTAGGATGGCAGTTTCTTTGGGTATGTCACAGAAGACAGAGTAAGCAGCGTAATCTATAGTTAACACGTTTTTTCGTTATGATATGTGATACATTTTTATGCGCGGAGACGCTGCGCGAGTTTTATTTAAGAACAAGGACATCAAAGGTGCCAACATGAAGACAAATTTCTGTATAGCGTAGGGTAGTCTATATTCTGTGGTCTTAACACAAGTCTTCAAAGGATTTAACATGTTTGAAGACTTGTGTTAGAACCCCAGAATATGGAGTACACTACTACTACTACTAAAATGTTCAGTGTGATTATGCAACAAAAGACAAATCAAATTTAAGTAGATGTCTGTTAACTCACAATACAGTATAACCTCAATATTAATCAGGACAATTAAATGCAAAAGGTGTGTCCGAATTAGTGATCTGTCCAGATTACTGATAAAAGTGAGTGAATGCACGTTAACCACTTGGACACGTTCATTCTATATGTTCAAATAATTTAAATCCAAAAACAGTATAAATGTAACATATAATAACTAAACATTAATCTACATAAATAAAATACACATGTATATTGTTATGCACTCTAAACACTTACGCAACATATCGCGCGACGTCTGCAGTTGGCCGACTGAATAATTTAATATAGAATCGCCAGCTTCTGCGCGCGTCTGGATTATTGAGGAGCGCCCGGACTATCATTGTCACATTAGCGCGTCCGGATTACTGGATGCATGGATTAAAATGTGTCCAGAGTAAAGAGGTTGCACTGTATTTTCAAATATTTAAAGTATGCACAGTGATTTTGCAAGAAATCACCACTAT